CCATTTATTAGATATACTTTTACCAAAAAAATTTAATTATTCATAATATATCTATAAATATAAAGTAATAACAAATATATAATATCATAGTAATAACAAATATATTATATCACAATTTTTGTTTTAGATTTATATTTAAATTTGAGTTTTTTTAATGATATAAATGAAAATAAATTAAAAAATAATTTAATTCTAAAAAAATATTTTCACAAAAATTAATTTATAGTAAGGAAAAAAAAAAAAAAAAATCTTAACTTTTATTTCAATTTAAGAACCTATTATACATAAAATGAAATTACTATCTTAAGCCAACAAGCTATTAGATACAATGTTAAAAATTTAGCCACGAACATTACGTTTTAGATCCGCCACCGAGCGAGCGAGCAACCATCTGTTAACATTGATACAAGGTAAAGTATGATGGGAATAACACATTTATTTTCTCCTTGCTTACAATGAAATCACATAAGAATATAAGGGAAAACCAGAAAGCTTCAATACTCATACATAACAGCAGCAGAAGCAGCAGCAGCTGGTGGAACATAGCAGACAACCATGCCACAGGTAAACGGGAATAACAACAAAAAAAATACCATAATATCTATTATGACAAATTAATGGCATCATCGGCTATCTCCCTGCGAGGATACACCACCTAAAAAAATTGCTCAACTGTTCTCCATACAATGAGGAACGAGATTTTTAAGAGTCTTGAGGTGTCTCAAATCTCGTTGGGGTGTCAATACCCATCATACAGCAAAGGCCTGATATTAGGATTATGAGCAACACGATCCCCTGCATAGATGGAGATTTGGAAGCAAATTTTAAGTCAAAATGGCAGAACATTTAACCAGTGAGACTTGTGAAGAACATGCATAACGAGATGAAAGCGTGCTAAAAGAGAGGTAATATGATCAAAGTTTTGGGGAAAGGGTAAAAACTTTATCAAGAACTAATAGCCAAATAGATATAGGAATTGGTGCACATATGATTTTTACCATTCAGCGGCATAAGCAAGAAGATAACCAGAAATTACCACCAAATATGCCATTTAAACAGTGAGACTCATGAAGAACACACATAACGAGATGGAAGCATGCTAAAAGAGAGGTAATATGATCAAAGTAATGGGAAATGAGTAAAACTTATCAATAACTAATAGCCAAATAGATATATGATTTTTACCATTCAGCGGCATAAGCAAGAAGATAACCAAAAATTACCACCAAATAATGACAGTTAGTTACTCACAACAAAGAGGCCCTCGAGAAGAGATGATTTAATTTGGCAGACTTCATCACAAAAATTTGCTGATTTAGTTGATCCATTTCCAGAGGAACCCTCAGCAAGAAATCTATCAAGCTTCATAGAAGTATGGCGAATGGAACGAAAGGGATCCGATACATAGAGAATTTCATACTTTGACCCAATATGCTCTGCAGAAGTCATTATCTCCAACAAAGCTTTGCCTATAATAATTTCAAAATTCAGCATAAAATGTTGTTAGCACTACAGCCATAATGTCAATCATGTTTCTTGTTCTAATAACCATTGTAAGACAAAGTAAAATGCGTTAACATACTTTCAGAAGCCCATGAATTAACTTCTTTAGGAGAATTGGAACCTCCATGACAGAAAACTACCAAATCTGTCTCTCCCTTTGGCTTCTTTTCCATTCTTGAAACCATATAATCCTACTCGTTTGACGTAGAAAGACAAATAAGAATATCACAAATGTTCTAAGAAAACAAATGACTTTAGTCATATAAAGATAGATTTACATTAATTGAATGCTGCAGGGGAAGTCTCTGGAACGATTCATCCTCAATGGAGCACAACTCATGGAAGGCACTATTGCTGATTCCAAGATCATGCCCACACGATTGTTTGAACTCTGAGATCAATGAATTTTCAATCGTCCCACTTTCTGGTGCAGCCACATAAGGAAATGCCAAGGAGAAGTTAGACCTTGAGAAAGAGCCCTGTGAAAATTGATCCTGAAATTAGAGACAAGACTCAAAGACAAGCAGTTTTAGAATTTATAAAGCAAATTGCTTTTGCAAACCTTTAGTAAGTCCTTAAGGTTCGGATCCACGTGCCTGCTCAACATAAAATCTGATTGCAACTATGAAAACCAAACAAATCGTCAAGGAAAAAATATGTGAACCAACATAACAATGCATCAAATTATTATAAAAAGTTTTTGTGGTACATTAAAAAATTTGCAAGAAAATAATTGAACAAATTCACCAATTAAAGAATTATATGATGAAAACTGATAGATCTCAAAATTCATATATTCCTACCTCTGAACCAACAAAGACTATTGCAAGATCCACATGCTGCTCTACATTCTTTCTCGAGCACTGAAGAATTAAATAATAAATAAAATATAAATATAAGAAGAAATCAAGTAAAAAGAATATACAAAAAGGCAAAACAGCTAGCTTTTCTAAAAATAAAAATTGTGCATGCAGAACAGACTTGAAATGTACAAGGTATCTTTAAAAACTAGTGATAGAGAACTTCAGAACAAGATGTGAAATGTAACAAACACCAGAAATTTTGACCAGCCCCCTTCATACAGAACAGACTTTGCCAGCTCCTGTGGAGAAATGGTCTGGTAATCAACAGATTTTTCAATAATGTTGTTTGAAAACCTGCAACCATATAGTACAACTATTAAATTATGCCTAGAACAATGATACATAGTATATAACATGTCCAAAAAGGAATTTATGGGGACATCTAAAAGTTAGAGACAATTGATCCAACAATGAAGAAGGCAATCCTGATCAATTGTATCTAAAAATCAACTTAAATATATTTATCATTCATTTGCAACAAATTAACACACACAAAATGTCATACGGCGTACCCATGGTGATGATGAGGAGACCAGAGGAATGCAGGAACAGTGGATGGCAAAGATGAGCTAGGTTCAAATGTCGCTGCCACCAGGAGAACAACAAGAAGCAAACCCAGCTTGGGCACGTCCACCTTCTTCATCTCTCTGTTTCTGCACATCAACAAGATGAGGCGAGTCCAGAAAGAGTTGGAAGTTCAAATATAATTTGAAAAAACATACAACAAGATATAACATACATTTAAAAAACATATAAAAAGTTAGAGAGTTTAGATGCAAAATAATCAAATTGTGTTTATCGTTCAAATGTTGGCCAAATTGGATCTGCAATGTCCTCTCTCACTTGAGCCATTCACTTAAACGATGTCTTACCAGGGCAGAGAGACTACTTTTGTAGTTTCTGAAAGTTTTCACATAATTTAGGAACTTCTAAAAATTTTAGAAACAAGAAATGGGAAAGATTTTCATATATTCACATTTATTTCTATTTCATTTTGATTTCTTCAATCCAACCCATTCGAACATGGGAGGAATTGGAATGAGTTCAAATTTAATCTAAAATCCTTTCAAATCCGTCTTATTTCAGACGAAACCAAACGACGAGACAAAACAGGATTTGAAATCAGATGGAAATTCAAATCCTAATTTTTTGTTCAAACCAAACACAATAAATGACACTTTAAATCCGTTCTGATTTGAAATCCTTTCAAATTCAGGGTTTCCAAACAGATGGGGGAAAACAACAGGTAAATATCATCAGAAACTGATTCCAAAAGGAAATAAATTTTGTTTACCAGAGAAATCAACGCCGAAGTAGATTAGATTAACCCTTCCTGTTCGTCGCTCCTGACAGTGAATGGCGCAATTGAAAGGGTTTATCACGGTGATTCTCTTCGAAACAGCGATCGAATAGCGAACACTCGCTCGATCTTAGATCTTCGAAATCAATATGCTTTTTTATCGTTTCGTTCTCTCTCTTTTTTATTTAATTTATTTTAATTTTATTTTTTGTCTCTTGTTAAAAATTCGTCGTAATATTCTCCCATTTTTCCCCTTTAAAATAATAATTTAGGTAAATTGATAATATTCTAGAATAAATAACAACTATTTTATTGGTTTTTCCTCTTTTTAGATCAATTCAGTAATTATTTAATTTTCCAAAAAATAATTTAATTGAAGATTTTTTAGTTTTATTTTTTAAAAAAATTGAATTCTTTTATTATATTGAGTAGGAAATTTAAAATTTAATAGAAATCTTAATTATAGGTCATAGTAAGATATCAATTATTATTTTAAAAAATATTTAGATTTTTAATAAAATAGGTTCGTATTTATAATTATTTAAATATTGGTTTAATTTATTAAAAGAACGGTAACAAAGTTTTTCAATCCTATTTTAAAATAAAATTTTGTTTTTAGAGAGCGTTCTGTCACTTATTCATAAGTCAATTGGTATAAAAACTATGGGCGAAAATCAAAGGCACTGAACATAACTTATGACAAATAGACATTGAGCTTCATAGATCTGTGCCTGACATGACAATGAGGATCCCATGTATGACAAATAGACATCGAGATTCGAAAGTTGGGTGATCAGTAGCTTCCAACCCCATGAGTCGCCCTTGTCAATCAACCATATATGTATATATATAGTCCGTGCATGGAATTGTAAAAATAATATTAAAATTTTCGATAACGGCTTATATTATGTAACAACCCAGATCCATCGCTAGGTGATATTGTTCTCTTTGGGCTTTTTCTTTCGGCTTCCCCTTAGCTTTAAAATGCTGTTTGCTAGGGAAAATTTATTCATTCTTATAAATGATGGTTTGTTCTCCTTCCAACCAATGTGAGACGTCACAATCCACCCCCTTCGGGGCCAGCACTTTCGCTAGCACTCTTTCCTTCCTCCAATCGATGTGAGACCGTCCCCAAATCCTCCTCCTTTGGGCTCAACATCCTTACTGGCACACCACCTCGTGTTTATCCCCGTCGAAGAACAGCAAGAACCTCTCCCATCTCAATATATATATATATATATATATTCATTAGAATTAACCCTAAACTAGTGGTTAAAATTGGGACTAAATTTAGCAGTTTTTAACCTAAAAAATGGTCTAATTCTCTCAAGAAATGCCTTCCACACTCTTTCAAAATTTATCCTTCTTTGTAACTGATTCTGTCTTCACGTTGTTCCGTTCTCGCTGTGCATCGAACTCGTGCTCCTCGCGAGCTCGCGCACGCTCATGAATTTCGCGGTCTAATTCAGCTCAGAAAGGGGGAAGAGGCTCAAAAGAGGAGAAGAATCAGAGAGAGAGAACGACAGAAAAGAGTGTAAAGCAAATTATCGAGTGGAGAGTGCGGTGGCCGGAGGTGGATACGAGGTTGGGACGGTTCACTGGTGGGTGGGTGGTTTTTCTTTCAAATGGTATATGATGCTTTGCAATTCATTGAGAGATCGAATTCGGCCATGGCTTCGTGATTATGACAGGCTTCAATCTTTCGCAGTTATTCTCATTTATATACAGGTGCATTCTTCCCCATATCTCCGCCTTCTTTTCTTTGTTCTTTGTTATTTACGTTTTTGAATTCTTAATCTAATTTATCTACATACGTATGAGAAAGATCGGGTGCGCATTGGTTGGATCCCTAGGGGCATTGTACAACGGTGTATTACTTGTAAATTTGGCGATCGCATTATTCGCTTTGGTAGCCATCGAGAGCAGCAGTCAGAGTCTTGGCCGTACATATGCTGTTCTCCTGTTCTCTGCGATTTTCCTCGACATCTCCTGGTTCCTTCTTTTTGCCTACGACACATGGTCTCTCTCTAGCTCTCTCGTTTTAGTAATCTCAGCATGTTTAGTTTGTTTGAGAACGTGAGTCTGGACTGCTTGGTGAATTTAGCGATGTCTTGTCCCTGTCTATAGAGTAAAATTAGAAAGGATGCATACAGAACAAGTATGTGTTATAATATAATTCTACCACGCATATTGATATGACTAGTATGATAGCCAGCATGTTCCGTGTCCGCCCCTAAAAATGCATTTCCAACGTTGAAGCCGCTTATTATACTCCTACAGTTCTTTACTCTTTAACTAGTTGGATAATTTCATGATAAACCTTCCTCACCGGTCCATGGAAGCACTGCCGTATATGAAATAGATGAATCTAATTTGATGAATGCAGAAACTTCACACTCAAAGTTGAAATTCTAATTCCGGACGAAATATGATTTTGACTTAGCTATGATTAATTAAAAAGGATTTTGAAGGGAGCTTTGATGTTGTATAGTTGCAACAATATTTGAATGTTTTATACGTTTTGAAGAAAGCTTCGATCTTGTATAGCTGGAGAGGGTTTTTTATTATTTATTTATTATATATATTTTTTTTCTGTAAAAACTTATTTGAGCAATGCATTCTTCTGACACCCATCTTTGTGCCTGCATTTTCTTTTTTAATGCTCATCAAGTGCGTACGTGCATAACGTGCTTCTAGATTGATGCATGATGCTGATTGCTGGCTATTTTACCCTGTTAATTGAATGAAAGATTGCTTATATGCAGGAACATCTCATCTGAGAAATATGGACCCTTTTTTACCTTTTCAGTGAAGCTTACTCTGGCAATGCAGATTACTGGATTTTCTGTTAGACTATCGTCTTCACTACTGTGGATTCAAATTTACAGATTGGGGATTTCATACATGGAAACTCCAATCCCCCGAGAGGCAGATTATGATTTGAGAAATAGTTTTCTTAGCCCTGCTACTCCAGTTGCAGTTAGAGAGCCCTCAGTTTCTGATGATATAATAGGGGGCTCTATCTATGATCCAACTTATTACTCGTCCCTCTTCGAAGATGGTCAAGATAGTAAATGTCTGTCTGGGGTAACGTATCAATTTATTTTAAGCACTCTTTCATGCAACCGTCATTGATCCATTGTCATTCATTTACTAGTTCTAAATTTTCTGCTGCGATCCTATTGCTTTATCCATTTAGTTTTCCATGGTATTCTTTTCATATGTAGTTAATATAATACCGAATTTCAGCATTCAATTCTTACAAGATGAAGAGGGTTAGCCTTATTACAAGTTTCCTTTACTGAATGAAGGTTTTTTTTGTTTATAAATACTTTTGAAGAGCAAATAAAATTTTATCACTATTACTATAATTATTTTTATTATCGTAGAAATCCACTTTATTAGGATGAATTGGAGCTAAACCGATTTCAAATGTCTTTAAAATTTGTATTGAATAGGTGACCTCTTCACAAAGTCTAATCTAAATCCTCGATGTTTGCTTATAAACCTAATACCATCGAGTAGGACCTTTGGATGAAGTAAATGGCGTCAATTCATCTCCATGAGTACTTAGCTATATTAGACCTAATAGTGGGAGTGAGATGAAAGATCAAGCGAATGAGAGAGAATGCTTACTAACAAACACTCTCCATGACCCGAGAGTCCTTGATGGTTTGTAATGTTCTAGTGGTAGATTACACAAAGTGCTCCCTTTCATCATTGATGACATGCAAATGGTTTTTACAGGAGACAGACATATCATGGATGCCATTTCTCTTGCAGCTGAATCATTAGATGATTACCTTAGCAATAATAATAAAGGCTTCATCCCCAAGATTTTTTCCCCTTTCGTTTGATAGGAGAGATCAATTTTGGAAAAGTATATGAGAAGTATATGAGAAGGTTGATGGATCCTTCACTTAGATATGATAATGGAGAGAAAAGGTTTCAGCCTTTAGATGGAGAAGGTGGATCTACGACTCTCTCCACTACAATGGGAGGACTATTCGAGATATAAGGCAGGAGGATTTTCTTTCCCCTTTTCCTCTCTACTCTGGTGGTCGATTCTTTGAGTTGGTTTGTTGAAGTTAGTAAAAAAAAAAAAAAAAAAGATAAGTTGGAAGGTTTTAAGACTGGAAATTAAAGTGATGAAATTGTGATAGTTTCAAATTGATGAAATTGTGGCTTTTTTTTTTGTTGAAGATCGTTGGCCCTCGAGCTTGAATATAAATATTCAAAATTCCTTTTTGACAATGTGAATGTGGACAAAAAGCGTCTTCCTTCACATGTACTAGTGGATCCAAGTGTAGATAACATTAGTAAAAAGTTGGCTGAATGAAAAGGCTTCCTAATATTGAAGGCATGAAGACTTACTACTGTTACTTGGTGCCTTCTGTTGTTCCTCTCTATTTCCTTAACATATTGTTAGATCCCATATTGGTTGGAGAGGGGAACGAGAAAGGTGTGGAAACCTCTCCCTAGCAGACATGTTTTAAAACCTTGAGGGGAAGCCCAAAAGAGAAAGTCCAAAGAAGACAATTTCTGTTAGCGGTGGGCTTAGACTGTTACAAATGTTATCAAAACCAAACACTGGGTGGTGTGCTAGCGAGGACGTTGGGCCCCCAAGGGGGATGTATTTTGAGATCCCATGTTAGTTGGAGAGGGGAATGAAACATTCCTTATTAGGGTGTGGAAACCTCCACCTAGTAAGCATGTTTTAAAACCTTGAGGGGAAGCTCATAAGGAAAAGCCTAAAGAGGACAATATTTGCTAGTGCTAGGCTTGTGCTGCTACATATACATCTGAGGTAAAGCCAGTATTTATTTAGAGAAAATTATTAGAGGCTGTCTTTAGTAAGGTGCAAAGAGTAATGGGGTGGTCATTTAGTCAGCACTCTTGGCCAAATGGCTACGAACCAGAGATATTCTGAGGATGATAAATGTTGTAGAAAACAATTATTAGAAGCAGGTATGATCAATACAGAGATGTTTGGTTCCCAAACCATTTGAAAGTGAAAGACCTTTGTTACCCATGAAAGGACATCTCCAAACTAGGAGTTTCTTGGAAGTTAACTCCCATTTTAAGTCTGTCCTGAGATAAGATTTTGGAAAGATAGTTGGCTGGGAAGTTAATTTCCATTTTAAGCCTAGAAACCACACCAAGTATTTTGGGAAGATAGTTGGCTATCCTTCTTCGCTTGGTGATACTTTTCCCTGATTATTCTTTTTAAACTACAAGTTTTTCTATATTTATAGCTATGGGTTGACCACTAACAAAACTTAGAATCCTTAGTTTAGAAGAGATATTGTGATAGAGAGGTGGAATAATGAACGAAATGGGGTTTCTTTGTTATGTTCCTTAATATTCATGACCACGATAAATTTAGCCAACCAAGTCGTTCACCTCGACCATTCTTTTTTTTTAATGAACACTTAGCATGTTGATATGGAAAAGAAACTATTTTTTTATGTGGTCCTTAGCCTGCAATAACCTTTATACCTTGGATAGAGTACAAAAAGAGATCCAAATTATGCCTTATTGCCCCATATACGTTTGATGTACGAGTCAAGCCAGCATCCAACGACCACCTCGTCCATCACTGTTATTTGCTTATAGAGGCTGAAGTTTCATTTTAATCCTTTTTTTTTTTTTTTACTTGCAGCTTCCCTAAGAAGATTGAATGTGGGCTAATTGAATTAATCTATGCTGGAGGTTAAAGGTCAAAGCTAGAGTTTAATGGTGTAATGCTTGAAGTGCTCAACTTTCTAAGCTCACCTTCTTTGATTTTGTGGGTCATGTATGCGACCTCTTTATATTGGGGTTGGAGCTGTTTCTTCAAGGAGTTTGGCTTGAGTATGGCTAGACATAAGTGCAGTGAGATGATTGAGAGGTTCCTTCTCCACCTTCCTTTCATGGTAGGGGAAGGTTGTTGTAGCTGAATGGGGTGTGTGTTGTTTTGTATGATCTTTGGGAAGAGAGGAATACCAAGGTCTTTAAAGTGCTTGAGAGAGAGGTTTTGGTGTGACGGTTGGGCTCTTAATAGGTTCAACGTCTCTTTGTGGGCTGCAATGGTTAAGCTGTTTTATAATTATCTGTTAGGTTTTGTTTTTGTTAGATTGGAGACCCTTTCTTTAGTTTGCCTCCTTTTGTGAGCTCTCTTTCTTGTATGCCCTTGTACTCTTTCATTTTTTTCTCCATGGAAATTTGGTTATTCATAAAAGAAGGTAAACGACCCCTATTTGGAGTGCCCTAACATATCTTTTTGTAATTGTCCCTCGTTCCTTGAGTGGAGGCCATTTTTTTTACTCCTTGTTAGGCTCAATGATGTGTGTCTAGGTTGTTGATTTTAATAGAATCATTTTTTTTTTTAGTAATAACTTTGTTTCCTATCCAAAAAGGGAGACTTGAGAGGCCATAGGTTAGAATCTATATATCTCGAGTGAAAAGGGAGTCTTTATATGTTGTCTACATCGGGGGAATAACAACTTTTAGGTCTTAATAATATACTAAGCATATATGAGGAAATAATATTTTTTATCAATAAAAATTTGATTTTTGTACTCCTCAAGCTGGATGATATATGCTAGTCATTTTGTTGAAGACCAACCCTACCATTGGTTCGATGTAGAGCCTTGTAAATGTTTGCAACTTGTTATTAGGAAGACACATCTCTCAAGTTGATTATGTTTATTTCAATTATCTCATTGATGAAGTGAATCTATTTCACCATGCTTCATTTGGTCATTATGTATTTCGATATGCTTAATTCACCATTTGTTGTCCGATAGGGAAATGACAGATGTTGTGGCTTTTTTGTCTTCGATTGGGTAGTTTTTGGTTAGCCTTGGGAGGGACGATTATCGTCTTTGGGGTCTTAGTCCTTCTGAAGGATTTTCTTGTAGTTCCTTTCTTTCATTGTCTGGTGAACCCTCTCCCGACCAGCTCCTCCATCTTTTCCTTGCTGTAGAAAGCCAAAATTTCCTAGAAGGTTCAATTTTTTGTGTAGTATGACTTTCTGAAAATGTTCATATCTTAGATCGTGTTTCAAGGAGGTTGATGGTGGTGTAAAAGAATTAAAATATTAGAGGATAATAGCATTTGTATGCTTTCTTGTTTGGTGAGTATTCTATAAGGTACATTTCATGGATTGGGTATCAAGTTTTGTATGGTGTTGAGGATAGAAATAAACAAAGGCAATACATTTTAGGCTACAATTGAGACATGAAAGTTTTTTACGGGTGTCTTGAACTTGAGGATGTAAAAGGACATTAGTTTTTGGAACAGTTTGCAGCTAGAACAACTTCACCTCACCCTGAAGGTGCGTTTTTTGCATTTTAACCACACTACTTTGTTGTGATGTGTCAACCCAAGAAATTTGTTGCGTAATGCCATGGGGTTAAAGATAGTATCCAAGAGTAGAGTTGAAGAGATCACAACTTTTATTTGTTCAATTACTTCTAAGTACTTTAATATTTGATTTGAAGCTGAATTAGGATCACTTTATGAAAGAATGAATTGTTAACTAGTTTCGATTTTTCTTTAAAATGTCCAACTCAAATGGGCGATAGTTAACTAATAAAAGAAACCAACATGTTCCGGTGGCATTTATTTACCCCTTTAAGGTCCCTCCAATATCTCCATGAATAAGAGAGAAAGGTTGAGATGGTCTATTAGAATGAGGTAAAAGATGAATGTGCGTGTGTTCGGAGAGTTGAAAGTTCTCACACTAAAAGAGTTTGCTATTTTATTAATTAACAAAGAAGGCTACATATACTTAAGGGAGAAAAAAAAAAAAAAAAATTATGGTTGCAACCTCTGAGGGGGGCCTCTTTTTTGCTCCGGATTGAGAAAAACATAGGCTCTTCAATTACAAAGTTAAATCTGTTGGAAAGGTTCACGGATCATGTTTTTGGTTGGTCTCTTTCAGTGTAAGTCCTATGCTCCATATAAATCGTAATGTTTCCCATCTTTCTGCCAATTGGAAGAGTTTGGTTTTCCTCCCCTTTCTGAAATTTCATGCGTCTCTCCTTGAAAAAAAAAGATGGGTTGTTTCTCCTACACTACGCATTTGAGGTTGCGCTACCCCCTGCATGTGCCTACACCTATATATTATTGAGCCTCATTCATGTCTTCTGTTTTTTCAATTGACTAACTAACCAATGATAGCATCATTTCTTGCTATTTCTATCTGTAGGTCTCCCATTTTGGTCATGGTGATAATGGTACTGCTTCTGGGTCAGATGTGTCTCGATCAAAGCTGCCCAGACATTTCCAAGTAGCCGACGTGAGTGTACTTATCTCAGATAATGGAATCTGTTAGTTATCAAGGCTTATAGAATTTAGTTCACTCTGCCTAACCAATGTTGTAAGATAAAAAAATTGTTATGTTTGGATATTTAACTGTGGATAGTAGCCGATGATGGAAGGTTCCCACCCCCCCCCNNCCCCCCCCCCATTTTAAAAGTAAACGAGAGAAACTGGATGAGTTTATTGATTCTTTAGGCTGAGATTTCTAGAAGGATGGATCAAACTTGACTGGTGATTAGGCTTTGATTCGTACCCATGATCTCAAATCCTGTCGCCCCACTTAATATCATGTAGTATGCTTATTCGTTGATTCTGGCGAAGAAGTAATCGAGTCTTCAGGCTGCGATATATAGAAGGATGGATCAACTTTCACTAGTGCTTTGTTCATTTTCATCACTGCCCCAGATTGTTTCTGTGCCTCCGCCCACCCCACATCCCACATGTTGATTTGATTCTAACTGGGTTAAGTCTTTGTAGGATGAGCATGCAGCTGGACATCAGCAACAGACGGTTTAGAGCCCCGAGTTGGCGAATTTGTTGACTATGATGTGCTCCTCCTGTTATTCTGATGTCACAAATTCCGCTTACGACCAACTACTACTACTACTTCTACTACTACTACTCAGGTGCGGTTGGTTCACGTAGAGTTGTGTTTGTACAGCTTCGTATTATTAGATTTATAATTCTTTTTCCAGGATAAAATTTTTTCATTGAAGGAAGTTCTTGTACCGTTCGGCTCTGTGCTGAGTAAAAGAAATGCCATTGTCTTTGAAGTCTCAATAGGGAAAGAAGTTTTTGTATTATTTTCGGAAGGAACAAGGAAATAAGTTAAATAAAAAGTTCGTTATAAAGTTTATTATTCTCTTCGTTTGAAATAAATACCACCAAAAACATCCTTCAAGTATATTGACATTAAGCCCTTTAATTTATACAACATGACACAATATCCAGTATATTGATGTCTTTCTGGCTCTCTTTTATTTTGTCAAACTAAACTTGGAATTGAATGGTGAGTTTAATTTCTTAGATGGCATGACGATCCTAGATTTGATTTGATCTTTCTCAATTGTTGTTTGAGATAATGTCATGTTTGTCCAAGACTTGTTGTTTGTGGTTGTATGACAAATGTCCCAGTCATGCTTGTTTAGGACGTATTGTTGAATGGTCACCTTTTTACTTGCGTTCATATTAGATAGGCTGTCATAATGAGGGTGCACGACCATTCACTAAAATTATATTTACACTCACCAATGCTAAAATGCCTAAAATGTAATATAGGGGGTATTATTTCAAAATCGTAGTTGATGCCTAATGTCTTTTAGCTTATAACATTGCTTTCTTTCAAATCGTTTTCAACGTATTTTCTCACTCACGTTTTCTAAAATATCTCTCTCAGACGTGACTCGAGGCTTGAACACACGCTGACGTTGTCCATGAAGTCTGAGTTTCTTACAGCTGACTTGTTCGTTGGGTTAAAACAAGTGTTCTACAATTGCTGTCTCACTGATACAAGATTTCGATGGTGATAATAAACACATCTATTAAACTTTCATATATACACATGTACATCTATTTAAACTTCCATACATATAATATACATACGTATTCTCCATAATCGATAAGTTTTGTACTAAATATACCTTATTTAGTTATATTTAAAAAATCTAAACCTAGTATGAAACTAAATAAAACTTCAATTTATAAAATCATAAAAGAGTAACATTTTACCAAATTTTTAATGATAATTTTCATAACTAAGTTTCTTACTAAATGTTTTGCATATAGACATTATAAACATGGTATGAAACTATATAAGAACCATCTACAACCCGAACAAATACTATTTATTGAGCTTGTCGACAATTTATTTTTGTGCTTCAAGATCACAAATTTTCCAATTAACTCGTCTTTAAATACCTATGATGTCGAACATATCATGATTTATAGCAGGACATTTATGTGTCGATGTACCCTTTTAATAAAAATAAAGTATTGTTTTTTTAACCATATAAAACAAGGTTAATCTATAGACCAAACTCCTAAATAAATATATATAAAGCAACGAAATAAAATATTTAAGCCTATGGGACTTGGGAGAATTTGAAATGAAATATTTATTTTAATATAGTTAATTTATTAGATACAAAATTAAAATTAATTATTTGGAGCTTAAAATGTTAATTTTTATATTTAATAGATTTATATATATATATATATAACATTTTAATATTTAATAGATTTATATATATATATATTAAAAAAAGGGTTGAATGGATTGAGAATAACTTATTAAACAAAAAAACTGACCATTGAAAAACGTATGGCCCACAAGATTATTAAAAATTTAGAATTGTTTTAAATACGTTTTAACTTAAAATTAATTACAAATTTAGTTTCTAAATATTGAAATTTGTGTTTAATTTCAACTAATTTAGTCCGTAAACATTTGATTATTTGTTCTTCAAAATTCACGGACGCAACAGAGGAGAGAGAGAGAGAGAGAGAGAGAGAATGTTTATTTACTTTTAGTTTTTTATTTGTTTCGTTTCATTGTATTGTTTGTTGAATTATCTCTCCCTCTCTCTCTCTCTCTCTCTCTCTCTCTCTCTCTCCCCCTCTCTCGCGTGCGCGCTTTGGGTTTCGCCTCGGCCTCCGTTCCGTTCCCTTTTCCACCCAATTCGCTGTATTGTATCGGAGCAATCGCACGGATTCCTGGAAATTCCTCAACCAGATTCTTCTACGCTTCGTTTTGGTTTTCAAGTAATTCCCTTCTCGATTCTTCTTCTTTTTTGTTTTCGTTTCTCATTTCCTCCGCCTGATTATAATTGTTTGTGTTCGTAATTATCATTTTCGTTACAATTTCATCAAATTTGAATCCATGGCTATCGTTTTCTTTTATGCCGAGTAGACGTTTTGATGATGGCTGCAATCCCCCTTTTGATGGTTGACCGGGAGGGGGGGATCTGGATCTGATTATTCATGAGATCTGTGTAGAGTTTTTCAAGTTTTTTGCGCATTCGACTTCGCATCTGATGAATTTTTCTTTTCCGAGATGAGCTACACATGATTTGTGATTATCCTGTTCTGTTTATTTCATGGTGACAGAAAATAGATTAGCGGAAGCTGTGGTTTCTTGCGGGGAGGATATCATCCTACAAAGGGGAAAAGGTGGAACGAACCACGCGTTGAGGATGGACGAGTCAATTGCAACAAGATATTGGTGTCACATGTGTTCTCAAATGGTGAATCCCATCATTGATGTAGAAATTAAATGCCCCTTCTGCCGTAGTGGCTTTGTCGAAGAGATGAATAACGGCGATATTTCCCGTGACAATAATGAGCTCGAATCCGATTTTGGATCGGAGCGAGCTTTATCTCTTTGGGCCCCGATCTTGCTTGGTATGATGGGAAATCCCCGTGGGCGGCGAAGATTCAGGCATCTAGAGTTCGATGAGGATGATGGTGATAACGACAATGATGAAGGGGAAGGGCATCGCCTGACTGAGCCGACTGACTTGGACCGAGAGCTTGATTCAGTCATGAGGAGGAGGAGGAGTTCAGCTACCATTCTACAATTGCTCCAAGGCATTAGAGCTGGAATGGCAACTGAATCAGAGAATTTTGAGAGAGAGAGGAACAGAGAGCGAGAGCGGGTTATTCTCATAAATCCTTTCAATCAAACCATTGTAGTTCAAGGAGGAGGAGGTCAAACTGAGAATCAAAACCACCCCATTGGGTCGCTGGGTGATTATTTCGTTGGACCTGGTTTGGATTTGCTATTGCAACATCTAGCTGAGAATGATCCTAATAGATATGGCACTCCACCAGCGCATAAGGAGGCAGTTGATGCGCTGCCCACAGTGAGAGTTAAGGATAATTTGCAATGTTCAGTGTGTTTGGATGATTTTGAGGTTGATGCAGAGGCCAAGGAGATGCCGTGCAGGCATAAGTTTCACACTGGTTGTATTCTTCCATGGCTGGAGCTTCATAGTTCTTGCCCTGTTTGTAGGCATCAATTGCCTGCAGATGAATCCAAGCGAGATGTTGATGGTGGTGGGTCTACTAGGTTCATGGGTGACCTCAACGTTAATAATAATGGTGGTGGTTTTGGGGAGATTGAGGATGGGAGAAATAATGCTTCTGAGAGTAGATTTTCGTTTCCATGGCCATTCAATGGCTTGTTTTCATCGCAAGCTGGAGCTGGAAACTCCTCCGGAGGAAGTACAAGTGATTCTCAAAGGGATGACAGTTCCATTTGATTATCATATGAAGAAGCTGTCGGATATCGATGATGTCGATGTCGGTGTCGGTGTCGATGTGGTGCTTGTGCACTGCTTGCGGAATCGATCTTGTGTATGTATGCATATAAATGTAAGTTTGTTATACAATTCTATACAGTTGTCTTGCCGGCTGCCCTTAGAGGAATCTCCCTTATTGTTATTGTACCAACATTGTAGATGCTCCGCTGCTTTAATTCCCATTCTTTCCTTCAACTCCAATAACAAATATGGCTTGAGTTTTTGTTCAATGTCGCCTCAATTATGTATGTATCCAACTACTTTTACTGTTCTAAGAATCTCAATATTAGTTTGGTTGATATCCAAAATTTGAAGTTCTTGTCTTTTGATTCAAAGAAAATCATACAGACACAACACTGTTATGGCCTTCCCCTGATGCATTAAGATGTTTACAAAGCTTAAAGTTATGCATCTTTTCCGGCATAAGGTAATATCATTATCCATATCAAAATAGAGCATAGTTGTGAAATCTCACATTGGTTCGATGGAAAGGGGAACAAAACATACGCCCCCAAAACATTCCTTATAAAGGTGGAGTCTAAGGAGTGAAAAAACTCTTCCTAGTAGACGCGTTATAAAACCGTGAGGCTGACGACAATACATAACGGGCTAAAACAGACAATATCTGCTAGCAGTGTACTAATTCTCCCTAGTACACACCTCTCACTTCTCTACTCTCCCTAGTAGACACCTCTCACTTCTCTACTCTCCCTAGTAGACACCTCTCACCTCTCTACAGTAGATGCGTATTTAAAACTGTGAGGCCCTAACGATGTACTATATCTCAACGGTGTACTAGATCTCCCTAGTACACTCTCTCTAGTAGATGCGTTTAGTACACTCTCTAATAGATGCGTTTCGTACACTCTCTAGTAGATGCGTTTAGTACACCCTCTCTAGTAGATGCATTTTAAGGCCAGTACACCTCTCTCTAGTAGATACATTTTAAAACTGTGAAGCCATTGTGAGGCGTTGCTAGTGGTGTACTAGATCTTCCTAGTAGACGCATTTTAAAACCGTAAGGCCGTTAACGTGCTAGAAGACAATATTTACTAGTAGGGTACTTGCTCTCCCTAATAGACATGTTCTAAAATCGTAAGACTAATAGCGATACATAACGAGTGGCTAGCGGCGTACTCTGGCTATTACAACAGTAGTCCAACAAAAACAGGAGGCATCCTCCTATCTACCTCCAAGAGAGAGGCCTGGCCTCCAATGGATTGGTGAACATAACATTATTATTTCAAAGCAAATGAACTGTCTGGTTTCCAGTAAATGGACAGTGTCTACATCATAAAAAGAAATATGGAAGCATTCCAAAAATGCTTATCACAAGAGGTGTATGTTATAGAGGTGGTTTCAACGATGAACCCAAAAACAATGAAGAAAATCAAGAGCAATTATTCGAATTAACCTGTGCTCTTGGTAAATGGCAAAAAAATAAACTTCCAAGAGCGTGATTTTCCTACTTCACAGTCAAAATCTTGATCACAGATGCTGTTCCAACGCGATGAAGCGCCACGACAGAATCTCCATTCTTGCAGAGGCCCTTCAACTTAGCATGCTGAATAGCGAACTCTATTGCTTCTTCCGTTGTCTCGGCATGAGACGACTTTGCCGATGCTGTGCTAAGAACCGGTACCAAGCCACGAAAGATTAAGCTATGCCTTGCTGGAGCTTCATCGCTGCACGACCAATCGAATGAATCTGTCTTAATCTCGGGGACGACCACGGACAAGATGGGTGTTCCTGGTCTATACTTGGCCACCAATTTTGCTGTGCTTCCTCCTCTGGTTAGGACAAGGATAAGAGCTGCCTTGGCAGAGTTTGCAGTCCTAACAGCAGAAGAAGCAAGGCTTTCTAATGGGCTCATGGGAACTGGGGAGTGTTCCATAATTCTTTTAAAGACATCTCCATAATTAAGGGTGCTTTCAGCTTCAACACATATTTTTGCCATTGTTCTAACAGCAAGTTCAGGATATGCTCCGGCAGCTGTTTCACCACTTAACATAACGCAATCGGTTCCATCGAGAACAGCATTCGCAACGTCGGTGGCTTCGGCTCTAGTTGGTCTTGGAGATTTAATCATCGATTCCAACATCTGCGTAGCTGTGACAACAGGTTTTCCCTGGATGTTGCACTTGTATATCATCACTTTCTGCGCCAGAAATATCTTCTCAATCGGAATTTCCATTCCCAAGTCACCACGTGCCACCATAAACGCATCTGAATTGGCTAGTATGTCGTCAAAATTTGCCACACCTTCTTGATTCTCAACCTGTGAGTCAAATTCCAGAAAGATCACAGGGCTGAAATTGCTTTTTGTAAGAAATTTATGGTGCATAAAAGAAGCAATCTCAAAACATTCGTGCTGAGAATCACCAGAAAAGGCTAAATTCTCAGTAATTAGAAACATATTTCGACAGATGTAACTGAATGTACCTTAGACATGAGGAGAATACTCTTGGCATGCTTTCCAAGCAACTTCCGGACCTCCACAAGATCAGAACCTTTCCGAACGAAAGATAGAGCAATCATATCAATGTTATTAGGAACCCCCCATTCTAGTATATCTTCCTTATCTTTCTCTGTTAGGGTAGGGAGATCCACTATAACTCCAGGCAGGTTAACATTTTTTCTTTCACCAAGAACTGCAGAGTTCTCACAGCGACATCGTACCAAACCTGATTCTTTATCACAAGATAGAACCGAAAATGAGATTGTTCCATCTGAACAAAGTATTACACTCCCTGGCTTTACATCCTCAGCTAACTTTTTGTAGCTCATACATATCATATTCTCATCACCCTTCAAGCTGTAGTCGGTAGATATAGTTATCTCCTGTCCCTGTGTTAGTTGGATGGGTTTTCCGTCTTTCAGAAATCCAGTTCGAATCTCCGGGCCCTGATTTCATTTAAAAGTCATGGGTCGACCAAACTTCATTAGTGCAAAACAGTTGCTTTAAAATGAAAGGTGAAAGTTATGGATGGGGCATCTTCAAGTAACGGAAGTGGCATTTGAATCTTCATGATTCCATAGACATGATTAACTGTATGTTGTAAGTTTCAATTACAGTTGTTTTCGGCAAAATAAAAATAAGAATGGCATGATGATGTAATGGCCCAAGCCCACCGTTAGCAAATATTGTCCTCTTTGGGCTTCCCCTCAAGATTTTTAAAACATGTCTGCATATGGAGAGGTTTCACACCCTTATAAAGAATGCTTCGTTCTCCTCCCCAACCAATGTGGGATCTCACACGTGAAGTCACAAAAGAATTTCCTACGTACTGTAAATCAATAATAAAAGAGATGAAACAGAAATCCAGAAGGCTTTGTTCCTGGCTCTGAGAAAGCTCAGACAACTAAACAGGAGCAGCAATGGTGAAAATCACTAGAACAAACCTCAAAATTATTTCTCGCAGTTCAAGTGCTGCCTCTAACTATTCAAGAATATGATTTACCCTCAACGGAATACAAATACGAGAACATCAACTTGGTTGTGTTCAAATTAAAGGCAATTATGAAGTAACAAATATCCAGACACAACAAACAAGCAGTACCAAGTTAATGAAGATATCATCACAATGGATAACAGAAGGTGAAAACTGAGTATTAATGGAAGAACAATTTCAGAGGACATACTTTTAGTAAGAATCAGACTAACAAGGGCAAATATCAGTCGCATTCAGTAAAAACAATACACCAACTTCTTCATTCAACTTGTAGAAAATAAATGAATAATTAAAACACATCTGACCAGAATCCTGCAAGCACAAAATCCCTCCCCGTAATTGGCTTGTTGAGAATGTGTTGCAATATGTAAAACAAGTGCTGATTTGTAATTTAACGTAATATGTCATAGAAAGATACAAAAAAAAAAAAACCCCAACTTTTGAGAGAAATTCACAGATCATAAGTATGCTAAATTCTATTTGATCATCTTATTCACAAGTATGTAACAGACAAGTTAAGCATTTTTTTTGGGAAACTCGCAGAAGGAAACACAGACTTATCATACAAAAGGGTGAAGAAACCAATTAGATTCGCTGGAAACATCGAAATCAAAACCAGTAAAAGCCCAATATATCTGACAGACGAGAATAAAACCAAAACTAGGCGACAAAGGACAAAAAAAAAAAAGGTGAAAAATCGAAAATAAATAAAATGAAATGGAAAGTTCGGAAGAGATGAGATCGAATTCCAGATAATATATGGATCAGAAAGGGGAAAGGTAGACATATAAAAACGAAAAGCAAGAAATCAAGGGTTTGATCAAATCAAGTAAAGTGAGATAAGTTATGAGAACGAAGGTTGAGAGAAACCTTGGTGTCAAGCATGACGGCGCAGAGAATACCGGTGTTTTCCATCGCAGCGCGGAGATTGTCAAGGGTCTCCTGGTGATACTCGTGGGATCCATGAGAGAAGTTGAAACGAGCAACATTCATCCCAGCCTTCAAAAGCTTCTCGACCATGGGCACGGACCTGGATGCCGGCCCCAAAGTGCAGACAATCTTAGTCTTTGGCTTCTTCTCAATCACTAATCCGTCCATTTTTTGTGGTTGATTATGGATTCGGTCAAGAGAGGATCAGATTAAACGATGGAACGAGGAAGAAGAAGATCCAAAAAAATCTGTAGAACAGAGACGAAATAGAGAAAAAGAAAACGCGGATCGGTGATCGGACGGGAGAAATCGAGGAGGTCTGGATCGAATTGATTGTTCGAAGGTGAGGGAGGAAGAAGGAGAAGGTTTCGTAAATCTCAGTGGGGATTTTTTTCAGGTCAACTGTAAAGCGGCGTGGCGCTACCGCATCGCATCACATAGCTTCGTTATTTCTTTTTTTTCCTTATAAAGAAAAATAATAAAATATCATTGACTAACAAATTTTCAAATTTATTGCATTTATGAAATCATATATATTTTATTTTAACTTTTACTCCACATTAAATCTTAATACTTCCCAATCAAAATTATTTAAATATTATAAATGAAATTTATGAAGTTTAATTAAGGAACCAAATTAAAACTTTTAATTTGAATAATATTATTTTGTATTATATAAAATAGGTATTGAATCTCATGGCTCGTTGAGTTGTTTCTTTAGAATTTGATAGCACCTACGTGTTTGTGTGAGCTTAGCTATGTAATTATATACTTTTCGAATATGAATACATTTTCTGAGAGATTATGGCTTTTGTGTTTTAGTGGATCTTCCAGATCCTTTCGATGACCTATGTTGTGGTATTATTTATGGGTCTCCTTCCAGCAGTAAAGTACATTACATAGTCCGTTTTAGGGATTGACGACTTATCCATTCAGTGACTTTGGCACTGGATGTTTAAAAAATGGGGTACTATTTGGGGCCGGGTGGTCTCCTCCCAGCAGTAAAGTACATTACATAGTCCGTTTTAAGGATTGGCGACTTACCCATTCAGTGACTTTGGCACTGGATGTTCAAAAAATGGGGTACTATCGGGGTTGGGTGAATTCAATGATAGACGCCTTTTGGCATTTCAACCTTCATTCTCCTTTCAGGGCCTACCCGAAAGAGAATCGTTTCTTGGTCGTGAATATCTGAATAGGACGAATCGGTGGTTCGCTTCGAAACAAAACAATTAGAATTAGGCTCGTTGAACTGGAATGTGTATTATCCATATAGGTATTTGAGTCAGGTTTGTAACCCCGAGTAGCTATGCATGTCTTCGTGATCTTTCAATGGAGAAGAATGACTATCTATTTTATTTAGTTATTCAAGTTAAACCAATGATTCATTATCGTAATAGCAACAAACATTTAGGAAAAGTTATCTTTTTCTCAACAATGTCTTTGACATTTGATCCAATGGTGTTTGTTTGTTTAAAAATTATGTTTGTTTTATCACATTTCTTTATAATAATAGAAACCCATGAAATTTTAAATTTTAAAAAATACACTAAAAATACATATAACAAATAAAAAAAACCCGAATGTATAATTATAAGCTTAGCTTTCAAAAAAACAAAAAATCGAACTTTTTTTTAACATCAAAAGAGTTAGCCTTTTGTCTTCAATTTTAGAAAATTATGCTTATTTTTCCTCCATTTTTTTAGTTTGAATTTCTAGTCGAAAAAAGGGTTCCGTTATATATAATATAGTGAAGTTATACTTAGGGTTCTCGCAAAAGAGAATTTTGTTTTCAATTAAATCAATTAAATTATTAATTGATTTAATTGAAAAATAGCGGTTTCTCACCTGTTATATCAAATTCACATAAAAAAAAAATCGTTGTTCTCCCTATGAATATGAAGAACTTTTTTCGTAAAATCTCGTTTACTAAAAAATTTGTATTCCAAGAAAGAACAAAAAGGACAATAACTCAAACAAAAATGATTAAAATAGAGAAAATAAGATAAAGCAATTAAAAGTACAAATATCAAAGAAATTGAAAATAATGTATATATAATAAAAGTTCATCATAATTTGGGACAATTCGCATGCGAGTATAAACTAGTCCATAAAAAAGATGTGATGGCCTGAAGATAAGAGTTACCGCGACCCACAACAAAACTATGCCCTCTGTTTTAGGTAAGCTTTTCTCTAGGCTGCAAGAAAACTACTTCAACCTTTTCATTCACTCTCTCTTACTCAATACCACCACAGAAATAGAACCATCGTCTATCTAACTCAACCACTTACCTTTTGAAAATTTGATCTGTAAACTTATCAAAGCTCATCATGCTTCTCTGGCCCTTCTTTATTCAGCATCTCCAACTTGTTTTTCAGTTCCTATGGATCATTCAAGAGGGTCCCGTAAGCGTGGAAAGTAAGTAAAATTATCTGACAAAAGTTGAAATGAACTGTCTATATGCAATATAATGAATGGAACCTGAAGTTTTTCCTCTACACAAGCGGCTGGGGTTGATAAAAGTGCCGTGTATCTGTCACAAACTCCCAGTATGTTATCAGAGAGTGAGTGGGGGAGGGGGGAGAGAGGGAGGGAGGGAGGGAGGGAGAGGGAGAGAGAGACTTACTCGCAACGACTTGGCTCGTCTACATCGGTTATGTCATTTTTAAGCCCACATCTTAGCTTGACCTGAAGAATAAACATGGAATGTCAAGAGAAGGAAGTTGATCCTGCTTTTCCATGGGCAACCTTGCCTTGAAAATACAGGAAATGCATAGATGACCATTGATTTCAAGAAATAATCATACATATAAAATTCTGTCAAACATGTGATCAGGAAGTAATTATTATGCCCAGTTTAATCATGAAGATAAAATTATTCGCAAGACACCTTCAAGCTTCTATCAGGTCCATTCCAGCAATGATCCCCACTTGAAAAGATCATAACCCCATATGAGTCCTCAAATTTACTCCAGCGCCTGGTTGGAACCAAATCATGTTAAGAAAAGAAAGGCAGAGTTAAGAATAATACTACGTTCGCTAGTAACTTGAGATTTTCTGTGAGAGGAAGTAAAATAAAAGAGCAGAGTCAATACTAGGTTTACTAGTATACTTTAGACTCCTTTAACGCAATAAATATATAGGGTACAATTACGAAAAGCCTACCCCAAACGAGTTGTCGAGTGCCCCTCGACCTGTGAAGCTTGCTTGTAAGGGCAGATTTTGTAAATGTATCTGGACAAGATTTGAATTTAAGCAGATGAATATAAAAATTCAACTAGCATAAGAAAAAACCTATAAAGATAAGGACACTGAAAGGTAAAATTAGCTACTTGTTTTTCTTGCTTTCAAAACATTGGTCATAAAATGAATAGAACTCCTTCTCTGGACCTGCAAATGGATAGAAATGAAGATCACTAAATTAGTATTTGCATATTTTAAGTTGATGTTGCATTATAATCGTGAAAACGGTGCATCTCATACTAACCAAAATCATTCTGCAGCTTCTGTGATAAACTTGAGATCCTTGACTGTATTTTTGATAACCTGGCATTGGATTCATCATATTCCTTGCGAATGTTTGCAGCATCTGATGAATGCAAAATCAACATAACCATTTTCATGTGGTTAAACTCTAAAGTCATCGATCAAGTGTCAAACACCATGAACTTGCAAGCTTGTACCTGATTGGTTCACTGGAGGCTGGAATATATGAACAGCTTTGAGGACCTTTCGAACAGTTCTTTGTATCTTCTCAAGCCAGGTGGGGGTACTTTTGGTTTCCATATCTAGACAAATTGTTTAAAAAGAAATAAAATAGAAACAAATAAATAAAAGACGAGAAATATTTCACAACTGAAGGGAGCTAAAGCAATATTATAAACGAAAATAACTTAGACAAGAGAAACCTATATTTCAACCTGGTGAGTCCAATTCTGAATCTGAATAATATCTCTCTGACGAAGTAGACTCATCATGATTTTCATCTCTGATATCATATAAATCATCCTCTAGATCATCATCATATCTTTGGTTGTCATCGTCGTATTTTTGGTGCTCACCATCAGTGTCTGAAGCATAACCATCATTGTCGTGTGTGTCTTTTAAGATATCATGATTTTCTTCATCACTGTCATTCATGCTTTCCGCATTTCCCGACTGTTCTTCAGTATTTTCTCCGGTCCAACGAGAAGCAACAAGGCGGCCCAACTCTTCCCGTGATAACTCTGAATTAGCATCATTCTGCAACAAATTTCATGTAGATTAAATACAATTAAACCAGGAACATAATACCATAGAATTTCAATGAACAGTAGAACAAATGGACTTGAGTTGTAGAAGCCGTTTAAGTTGTGAATGTAAGTTTGATTCTTTAATACTAAAAAAAATGTTAAGGAACTATATTGGTGTAAAATGAAATCCAATTCAGAAAATTTCATATAAGATTGATGTTCTTTATCATTGACTGGTGGTCTACAATTTGATGGCAGTCAAAGCAAATGGTCGCCTAGTTGATAAAATGTTATTTAGGACATCATGCCTATTATGCACAATATGGTCTAAAGAATGCTATAAACCAACTACTAGAGAAATATAAGCCATCGGTTTTTTATGACAGTTCGTTACTGAGAGAGCTATTGGGTTCGAGTCTGACCGAGAAGAAAAGGAAGAGAAGGGAAGGGTGAAAGAAAAAGAAAGAGAGAGTATTTAAAAATTTAAAAAATATATACATAAAAAAAATAAAGATTAAAAAGAAAAAAAGAGAGAATAGGTAACCCACGGGTTGAACAGTGTTACTGTTCAACCTGTAGGTTTTGATTTAAAGGAAGCCCATGCTCCCTAAACACATGCCCCAAAAATAGAGTAGCCTGAGCAAGCAAACCACGTCAACCCCATCCCTGACCCTGGCCCCAAGGGGCCACATTTTAAAAATGCCAATGGATAAATCACGGGCAAAAAATGGAATCAAGGCTTCATAGGATAATTCTTTTTGCTTGCAGCATAAAGATGACAAAATTACATCATGGCACACTTTGTAGTTGGCATTTCAATGGAGTATGTTCGTAAAAATACCAACTTGCAAATAGTAAGTTTAGGTGCACTCTTGGTAGCGATACTAAGACTGTCCATATATAGTGAAAAATCAAGTATGAAAAATGTGAAAAGTTTCCACACAAAGGTTCAGCCGTCTGAAGATCTTTTTCCGCTTTTTTACCAAATTATACCACTATTCAATCAAAACATCATGTTTCTTCTTAGTCATCTAATGTCATACAATAAATTTAGTAAAGCAACACAGCAAGCCAGGTTTTATCAAATGATATCAAACTTCAATAAAGTTTCCTGAAAGAGAGTGCTGTTATATTGAAATAAATACCTCTTTCGTGACTTCTTCAGATGATTCTCTAGAGCCGACACTTTCTCCAGTTTCAGATTTAGCCAGGGGTTTGTCTTT